GGTACCGGAAGCTGCAAGCAGCTGAGCAGAGGTTGAGGCTACTGCCCTGTGTCCCAGGGCATATCACTTAGCCCCTGCTGTGCCTCAGTTTCCCCAGCTGCGCCACACAGTGATGGGGAGGTGAGGGAGGCTTGGCAGAGGCTCTTTGGGGGCATCCTAGGCAGGGGGCTTATAAGTGTGGCTTAATAGGGGCAGGACTCCAGAGGGAACACTAGACTCCTGAGTTCTGTGTCCAGCTCTGCTGCCCTCATGCCAGCTGGTGGGGGGCATCTCCTGCCCAGAGTTGCTGGGTGTGGGGTTAGGGTGAGAAAAGGGAACGCAAAGACCCCCACCCAGTGGAATGGGGTGAAGAGAAGGGGGCACAGGGACCCTTGGCCAAGAGCAGAGCAGTCACCATTGGCAAATATTAATTTAATGGTTAAAATCGTTAAATTATCCCAGCGCCCAATAAATAGAAGCGGCTTTGAGCTCATTAAAAGCACCAATCAATCTAACACACCCCACCTCCCCCAAATAGAAAGCACCCCCCTCCCCCCCAGCTGAGGCATGCAGCCAGGTAACAGGCCATGGCACAGATGGTGGGGGGTGGGCACAGACAGGCTATGGTAGGAGAATTAGGGCCCCAATATCAGGGCCCGAGCTCTGTGATGCTCCCCCCACCCTCCGAGCTCCAACCCATAGCAGGGCTCCCTGGGGTGGAGAGTCTGGGAGGCTACATGGCATCTGGGCCACCCCCAGTGGGTCTGGAGGTACCTGCAGCTGGTGGGGGAGCTATGAACTGCCCAGCTCCCAGACTGGCACGGCAGGGGGGGTGTTCTTCCCCAGCACCAAGCACCTGACCCTGAGACCGAAGCCTCCCCATCAGACTGATCCCTTCACCCCCCTCCCTATTCAATCCAAACCAGCCCAGACCAATACAATACTCTATGGGATGGATGTAGCTGATGGAGGAGGTTGGGGGGGGTCTACAACATAGACAGACCCCCTCCCCCGCCTGTTGAGGGAAAAGCAGATTAGGGGTAGCAGGGGCTATCAGATTTTTCTGGGTAGAAACCAGGTTGAAACCTGAGTTTGGGGCCAAGGCAACCAGGCCAGACCCCCTACCCTGCTATGGGGGGGAAGGCGGAACCCCCATTGGAGAGCCCCGGTGGGGGAGGGGGAAACACCCCAAAAAATATAAATAGAAACAACAGTAAAAGTTAAACTCTGAGGTAGGCAGTGGGGAAAGGGTCAGAGGGGACAAGAGAGGTAATGGGGAGGACCTTCGCAGGGGGACAGGACAGGGAACAGGGGCAAGAGAGGGAATGGGGGGGCAGCTGGCAAGAGCCAGCTCCATGCCAGCACCCGCTCCCAGGCCAGGGACCCAGCACCCCACCCCCACCAAGGCTCAGGCAGGGCCCGGGCAGTGCTGCTCCAGGATGGCAACAATGCCAGGCTGGCCGAGGTGCTGGGCGAGGTTGAGGGGGGTGCGGCCGTGGGCATCGCGGCGGCCCAGGTCGGAGACGGGTGCCAGGACAGCC